CGAACGAGAAAATTTAATAGAAATCCCAAAATGTGAAAGTGATTGGCCATTTCGGTGTTCATTTATTATAAAAAATATCGACTAACTTCCTTATTTTTTTATTCCTTATACTTCGTCACTGATAAAAATGAAAATGTAGTATCAGGGTTTTACTTCAACATACACAGTGTGAGAAAGGATAGTGAAGGAATCCAACAGATTCTGCTTGACCGCTCTAATTTCAAGTTATACGTTTACATGAACGTTTATTCTATTTTCAAATGATTCATAGAATTGAAAGGATATTTTTTTATTGACTCCAGCAAACTCAGAGAGAGAAAGCTTGTCTGATACAGACCTCCGGACTCGGACTCGAATCTTGACTAGTAGAGTTTATGGCGAGCTCTACTACTATTACTAGTGTCTTTAAAAGCTTTGAAAAAACCAGAATAGATATCGGTTCATCTATTTCTTTTGACCGTTGAGTTGTCTGTCATATATTCGAGGATTAGAAAAATTTGTTGTCTTCGTTATTGCATTATTTCATATCTCCGATAGAAAAATAAAGTCCATTTAGAGTCACGAAAACGTGATTTTTCGTATTCAGCATACTCAATAGCTCAGTAGAGTTTCTATTTTTAGCGAGAGGCACTGCAAAAAGTTTAGGAAAACTTTTCAAACTAATATTATTTTCCCATGGCAATTTTTTTTCGCCATTTTGTTTGAAAAGTTTTCCTCAACTTTTTGCAGTGCCTCTCGCTAAAAATAGAAACTCTACTGAGTTATCGAATATACTGAATACGAAAAAGCACGTTTTCGTGACTCTAAATGAACTTTATTTTTTTCTTCACGTTGATATGCATTTGTAGATTAAAAAGTAATTTTTTTCTTCTTCGATTAAATCGAGTGTTGCCCGTTTTTATCCCGTAATTCTATCAAATCTGTCAAATATGTGTAATACATTTTAAAAACTATCGGACTCTCAGCTGTATTTCAAGGACATGAATCTGATATTCCTCGTATTCGTTCAGCTCTGGTCTGATAGTCGAAGTGCTTTTTATATTTGTCACAATTTTTTTATTGATGTCAATTTGATTTATTACTTAATATAGTAGTAATGACTACACCTGGTTTTTTCTTTTTCCTTTTTCAGTACCTTGTTGAAAGGTACTTTATTTTGAAATTATTAATATCGAATGACTTTGGGAATAAGTTCAATTTAATTTAAAAAAATAAAGACTTCCTTCAATTGCTATTGTTGAAACTTGTTTCATTTTTTAAATAGTCTTCAATCTTAATGATCGACTGTTGTTATTATTGAGCGTGTATTTTTTATATAAGAACGTTTTTCATACATCGTGACTAAAAATGTATTTATTGTAACAGACGAACGAGGAAGGAACGAGAAAGAAAAATGTGGCTCTTATTACTACAATTATTTTTTTTCTAAAATGAACAGGTAAAAAAACGGTAATATTTTTTATTTTTTATCAGAAGAAAATGTTTTTTTACTCATAACCATATCGACAAAAAGTAATTTTAATGTTTATCAGAACATGTCGAGAAGAAGGAAAGCAAGAAAGACAAAAATCAAATTTAAAAGCATGAAAAAGTCTCTTATTGTGCAAATTCAATTTTCCGCTTAGGTATACGTGCTATATATACACAATTAAATTGAGTTAACCCTGAAAAACATTATCAAGGCAAGTGTGTTTTGAGCAGATGTTTTAAGATATAAGACTATAGTATTGATAGTTGCTCAAGTAGAGATAGTATTTATAATGGAATTAATAGATATCTCTAATTTGAGAGTAAATACTAATAATTTCATGTTTGCCATGTAGTCCATATTAAAATTAACATTTTATTTTTACTCTTCCTGTAGGAACGAGATGACAACCTGCCATAAAGCATTTAATGTAGATCATTCATCTTATTAGCATAAAAAAAGTCACAAAAGTTCGTCACCATACAAACCGAAGGATCCAAAAGTTGAAGATGGTATACAGTTTGCATCCAGTTCTAAGTGTGCATGGAGTCAGAAGGTAGATAAAATTATTAGATTTTATCTCTGCTAGAAGTATGATTTTATAGTAGGAAGTGCCACAACGTAGAGGATGTGTAGATATAAAAATACCTTGTTCATTCACCATCTACTAGCCAATTTTTTGATAGCAAAAAACTGCAGTAAATAAGTAAAAATAAGAATTGGGATATTTTATTAGTCAGCTTCAGACAATACGTATAGAAAGAATTTTTAATTTTGACTGAAGATTTTTGGATTCGAGCTGTGTTCTTCGCCCCCCCCTCCCCAAATCCGCACTTACCTGAGGCAAATTCCAGAATGATTTCGTATGTATTCTTGGTGAATGTCTTTTTGTAATTCTCTCGAGAATCCTACCAGTCATAAAATCTATGCTGACTGTACAAGAGAGAACATACTTCTTTTGCTTTGTATTGTAAATTGTATTGTAAATTGTATTGTTATGTATTAAAATGTACCTGTGTCATGAACACGTATCATTGCACAATGAAATGCTCCATGTCGTCAGTTTGTGCTCAACGGAGAAGAAAAAAAGTGTACAACGTGCCCGCCTTGGTTTTAATCCACTTCGCCTCTAATTTTATACAGTATAGCAGAGAAAGGAGAGAAAAAAGAAAATCTTAGCTGTCACGATGACGGAAAAGAGAAAAGAAATCGGTATGGCGTGATTTGATCAAGGTAGGAAATTAGTACCAATTAGTGGCATAGAAACAGTTTCTTCGACATCATTAAAAATGCAATTACACGGCAAAACGTCAATCCAAAGCGGATGCTTTTTGAATCCATAATGGTATGCTCGCTCTTTCATGGTGCTTTTTTCACGGACACTTTCTTCACGCTGTTTACCTACTCGTTTATTTTGTTGTCCGCAACACATCAACGAAAGATGCTTACAAGACAAACGTTCATCCAGTTGGAATGGAAACTTATTTTTAAAATAATAAAGTTTTCTACTCAGTTGTAAAGTGTATCAATAAATCTAAAGTTAGGTCTTTATTGGCACAAGACCAAAAATAAACGAAAAATGCAGCAAAAGGAAGCGAGACATCAAGCTAATAAATAAAAATAAATGTATAGAAAAGGAGTTCAATTCCCACATATATGCTATTTGTTAATCTGTTTCATTTTTCCACCTTTTTATTCGCAATCATTTATTACAGGTCTTTCAATCATCTATTTCTCCCCTGTATATCAATCTCTCGTTAAATCTCTCTGCAATTGAAGTAAATAAACAAAAAACAATCATTCGCCTCGAAATTACTTATGCACCTCGCACATTCACGAAAATACACTCTAGAAGACGCATTAAACAAGTAACTACGTTATTTTTCATTTCTTTTTCTACCAAGCTTAGTATTTTGTTATTATGGTCCTTTTTATTAGGATTATGAACTTCTTTTAAGATTTTAACTCTAGAATAAGACGGGTGAATAATGCATTTTAAATGCGTCTGTCAGTTGTCAATTAGTCGGCGATATCTATCTTATTTTCTTCTGTCTTTTTAAGTCGTCTTTAAGACTATGTGGTTAGTACATGCGTACCGATGTTTCTGTTCGACATTTTTCATGTCCATTTTTCTATGACACGTTTATATTGCTGTTCTTTAGAAAACTCTTTTTTTAGTATATTTTTCTATGAACATATTTTAACGAAAGCTTTTTTCGGGCTCGTATTGCTGTCATGCACTTCTTAAAAAAGCTACAGTTACTAGTAGTATAGTCAGAAAAATACTTCCAGTTGCGGTCTGTATAAAGATCTGTGGATTCTGCTAAAGATTATTAATAAGCTAGCTGTGAGGTTGAGACCTTTTGTTCTGACGCGGAGTTCCAGCATTCCAATGGTTACGTAACTAATAATAGCTGAAGTAGCTATTTGTCTTCATCTATAGTCATTATTTGCAATGCAGTTTGTTCAACAATTACTTGTGGTTTGATTTTAGTGGTATATGTCTTCAACACTAATATCTTTCTAAAAACCATGATAAAGTGACCAGCTAATGATGTCATATCTCAGTAGAGTTTGCTTATTAGACAACGTATAACCAAAAAGAGTAAACTAGAGTTTATGAGCTATTATATGTTAATAATTTTTATTTCATTTCCAATGCATACTCAAATGATTTTTACCGGCGCGCGCATTACAATACTTTTTTCTCGTTCTGGTTTATACACTATTAGCGAATCAGCTGAATCACCTGTGCAGTTTTATTAGGACTAGATTAGACCTCATTAAAATGTATGTTCTAATTCAACGATGAAAATATTGATCAGCTCTGATCCTAATGACGATTGAGTTTTCAGAAATTGTAGAGTTGATTCAGCCAGTTTTTTCAGGTATGGATCAATTATTAGAAGAAAAAAGGCATTAAACAACTTTGACTATTACAAATAATTAAGGCTAGTGCTATTATGACTAGAACGAAATTACTGTATCATTACGAAATGCATTTTCGAATTCCATAGCATTATGTAGTTAGTTAAGACGTCCGTGAAAGTACTCATAAAACATTCAGTTCTGAATCAGTAAAAAGCAAAAGAGAAGAAAAGCAATTTTCAGTTTTTTCCGAGTTGATTGTCAAAAAGTGTAAATAATCGCTTTTTAATTCTACCGCTCACTAAAAGTAACAAATAAAATCTTAGAATATAGTTTATTTCTAGATTTTTGTACATAATAAACACTGATAATGTCTCTCGTCTGGTGGCTAATTAAATCATTAATAACTTCAATTGATTTAATAGAATTACTTTATACATTAGTTCTACTGATCCCGTTACTGTTGTACTACAAGTATTACAGAATATTCAAATATTTTATATTCGAACAGAAACAAAAAGTAACAAAAGGCAATAGATCAAGAGGAAGTTGTCCACCTTTCTTTCCAAATGGTACGTATCTAAAGGTGAAGTCGTTCTTCTAGCTTTGACAAATATAACATTAACAAAAATTTAGATAGTTTGTATAAAACAAAAACGGAAATAATATATGATTTTGTTTAGGATGGTATTGCTTGATCAGTTCTTGCGATTTAAAAGTGGGTGATGTTCGATCATTATCCTACTGTGGCCGTGATGTTGTTTTATATCGCGGTAAAAATGGTCAACCCTACTTATTGAGTGCATATTGTGCTCATATGGGAGCAAATTTGGGTATTGGTGGACGTGTCCAATATGATACATGTATCGAATGTCCGTTTCATGGATGGACATTCGATGGTGAGACGGGCCATTGTGTTCTGTCGAAAGAAGGTACAAAAAGAGTAGCTGATCAATATTCATACATTGATATTCAAACATGTCGATCACATCCTGATACACCAGGAAAATATTTGGGTAAGATAGATACATGATGTTCAAATTTTTCCTTAACAGATCTATGATGCTTTAAAGAAAGATAACTGTTTTTATATGTGTCATGGATTCTAAAGTTATTTTATGTTTCATATTGTTTAGAAAAAGTATTAGATCAAAATGAAATAAAGATCAAAAAGTATGTGTGTAAGGAAGTAAATGGATCCATTGTGGCATGGTATCATTCAAATGATGATTTGAGAGAAAAACCATTGTATGATCCATTTATATTAGAAAGTGAACTTAAAAAAGAAAATATGGAAGGTAACACATATTATTTTAATTATTTTTTTCAGATAAAATAGTTAAAGTAAATGTTTTTTGTATTTTAGTGAGAGGAGAGTCCATTAACTATGTGAATTGTCATGTACAAGAAATACCAGAGAATGGTAAACTCACTATATTTCTCTTGTCATAATCATCCTACTGTTAGATCATACAAAAATAGTACAATACTGCGTACTTCTTATTAGGGACTACTCAATGAATTTTTTCGATGCAAAAAATTTCGTTTAAACGCACTAAAATCGGTATTTTGTGCCCTTAATACATTTAAACTCATTAAATGGATGAAAACAAATTTTAACGCCGTCATATATCTTAAACGTTAATGCATTTTTACAAATTCAACGCCTTCAAATGCCGTATTAACTAACACATTTAAACTTCTTCAAATTTTTACGCGTTCGAATGCATAAAAAGGACTTTTCGTGCATTTAATGTATTTACATGTATTCAGATTACTTTGATGCGTTCACATGCATTAGAAGTTAACGTATTTATTTAACACGTTGCTTGCGCGTTTGCAAAATTTTAGTATATAATATTTAACGCATGTAATAGAAATATTTTTAACGCCAATGAATGAGCGTGAACTGATTTACTATTTCATGCTATTAAATGCGTTAAAAAATGATTAACACGTTAAATGAACATTTTTGGTATTAAAAAGTTCATTGGGTATTATGCCTAATTTATTTGACTCTTTTATCCTGCGCTATTCCAGTTGAACATCGCAAGATAACTTAGACATCTAATTAAACCATAGAAAACACATTTTAGGGATATATTTTGTTTTAGGTGCTGATATTCGCCATTTTGATTATTTGCATGCATCCATCTTAGACTATATTCCATTCGTTAAATTTCGTTGGTCAATGATTACACAATGTGCTACTGATTCAAATTTGCGTGAAACGATGCAACACAAACATCCTCAAGTACAAAAATATAAATTCCATTTACTTGATAAATACATAACAGATAAAAATCGTCCATACATTAATGTGATATCACTCGATTGCTATCTAAGATTTTTTGGTAAACATGAAATATTTTTATTTAATGCTACGGGCTTTCAATTAGGTCCATCACTCGTCTATTTATTTCTTTTGTCACCCTATTTTCGTGCCACTTTCTTCCAAACCGTAACACCCATAGAAAAATTTAATCAACGTGTAATGCATCGAATTTATACAAATCACACTCTACCCTATTGGTTATCAGCATTGGCTCTTATGGGTGAAGTAAAACAATTGTTTTCAGATATGAATATTTGGAATAATAAAATATTTGGAGCTAAACTCAATTATAATATGAAAATGGAAGCGGATAAATATTTACAATCATGGAGAAATTGGTATGCACAGTTTTACGAAGGATGTCATGAGTATGAAAAGAATGTTGAAAGTTTATCGTGGTAGTTAGATTGCTTAGTAATAAATGCGGTCTGATCTGATGAAGAGGTAGATAAGTTGAATCTCTCTTAGTATATATTTCATTATCTCTTTTTATCTATATTTTCTTTATTCTGTTGATAAAAATTGGTGTCTGTGATAAAAAAACAATTGAACGTAATTTTAAATGTTTTATACTAAATAAACTCGTGTGAACCCGTATGTGAATAAATTATAATAGCTAAAAACGAGAATAATTGTCGAACAATAAAATTGATTTTCCCTTGGGGAAAAAAACATAGAGAAAAGTATACCATATTTATTCTAAATTTGACTTTTTCTGTTTTTAAAAGTAACATCTTTTACTATTACAAAAGATACGATAATGATCTTTTCTTCAGGTATCATAATCTATTATCAGTATTTTAATCGTTAATATTTTTAGAAGAAACAAATTTCTGAAAGATATTTTTCTTCCACAGCTATACAGCGAAACATATAAGAATTAGAGAAGACACTAAACTAAATTAAATAATGACAGGCGTTGTGAAACGTCAAAATCTGTATGATAATGTTGTGACAAACTTCCCCACTGGAACTCGTTCTGCAATGGGACAAACTTACATCGTCCATGAAAAATGAAATGTATAATATTCATCAGCATTCAGAGCAAGAAACTTGCTAGATCTGACGAAATATGATTTTGTCGATCTAAGAACTGCTGAACCAAATTCATCAGTATAAAGTACATTTATTTAAGTGTGTAAAGAATACGTTGGTGTGGATGTAAATTGAGTAGCTGAGGCATATAATTATAATGGCAACTGTGCCATAAGAGAAATGCTAAGAAAAAACCTTTATTGTGAAATAGAATGTCATTCAAGGAATAAGAAAGCGTGTGCTATTGTTTAGTCAGTCATTTTTTATGTAACTCCTCTAACTGATTCGAAGGTTGAGGAGATACAGTTATATACTCGAAACCTCAGCTGTGCATCTGCACAGCTGAGTAATCTTTGTATTTACATCATTATCATCGGTATTCTTTTTTCTACCTGTTTTACTATTTTGGCCATATTCACAGTAGTAAGGTTTTTTTTCTTTACTCCTCTTCAACAGATGTTTTCTTCTTTTCCGTACAGGTGGTACTTTTTTACAAGCCTCTGGCTTTGTGTACTTACCTATGTGTATATTTTTTTCTGCAAGATTATTTTCCAAACTTGGAATAAAGTTAAAGGTCACATACTTGAAAACCTATAAAAATGGGAAATTCTTACTTTGTACATTAATGCAAAATCGAATCAACTTGAAACATTCGTGAGACAGTGGGGGGTGTAATTAGAGAATACTTATAGACGACATAATGTATTCTGTTTATAGTGCATGACCTTCGTTTTACCGGTGTGACCCGTAACACGTGCAGCATCACGTGTGAAGCGCCATCATACCGCCCCCGGTTGTACTATTCATATGCGAAGAGATTTGTGTCGATATAATTAGTTGAAATTCTTAATGCAGAACGTAAAGCGATTAGTTTGTTAATCGGAACAAAAAATAGTTCATGGAACTCGGAAAAACCATCCGACATCATATCGTAGTTGACAGATTGTCTGTGGTTTTTTTGGAAACTGGTATGTTTTTCTCTAGATGTGTAAAGTCTTTCTAGGTTCGCAGCTGTGTAAATTTTGCCAGTGTGTTTCTGGCACATCACACGTGCATTTCTACATGCACAAATGCGAATCAAAGCGATGTGCAGGTTCAGCGTGTTTTGGGCACGCTATTTTTTACCATGTGTCTTCTAAGACACTTAGTCAGGCGCTTGTCTCGGTAATCATTATGTTGAGAGTCTTTACGATAATATTCACGCTCTAAGATCTTTTGCAGTTGATTACCAACCTCAGTTAATTGTGTTGCAAGAAACGTTTTTGAGCGATGTTTTGGATGACAATGAAATTAGTGTAGGTGGCTTTTCATTAGTCAGGAGAGATCGTGAAAAATTAGACGTTATTAATCCGACAGGACTAGCCATATTCATATCGAACACTATTCCTTTCTTGTTTGTTTCTTACTGTGCTGATCTTGAATGTTTATTTGTAAAGCTGACAATTCAATCTGTTGAGCTTTTTCTGTGTTGTTGTTATAGAAAGCCGTCAGTATATGAGGACTATTATGAAAGACTTTCTATTTTTTTGCTAAAGTATGCAATGGGAAGTCACGGTCAACTTATTCTGGTTGGGGATTTCAATTCAAATCTTGTCCTTCATCGAGACATATATAGAGAACTTTGCGAACTGACTGCACTTTTTCGTTCTTCTCCGTCAACAACTGGGTCTATCACACAAAAGAAAATACCTTTAAATAATATATTTTATCCTTCTGATTGACTTCCACTCCATTTTCGATTCTTTGATGCACTGAGAAAATCATGGAAATCCATTTTCTAAGTTACCATCCATCTCTATTTGGGGAAGCCAAAATCATGATACGGTGCTGGATTTCGAGACTGTAAGTGGAAAGGCTTGAAAGAATAAACAAGGATTGACAGAGATCTGATTCACTAGATAATAAAAGCCTTTTTTCTAAATAATTCTTAACATGAAAAATCTTGCTCATTCGTGAAATCACAGAGATTATGTGCCGTTGCGAACGGGCAGCGGTAAACTAACCGGTGTCCTACTCTATACTTTCGGTAGAGGAGTTCTTGTTGCGTAAAAGGAAGTAGTGGGAAGAAGGGGAAAATCCAGGAAAAAAAGAGGAAAGAATATGCGTAAAAGCAGTCTAAGTACATTTGTTGCAATGTTTTTGTTTCTTTTTAACCATCTCAATTTGTTAAATGATTTTTGTATACTTTCTAGACATTTGTCCACAGTGGGCTTAAGTGAAAGTTTATCTGTCCATGTAAAACCTAGATATTTAAACCTAGAAACAATCTCAATTATGTTGTCACCCATAAGGACTATTACATTAGGCTTCCGGACTTGTGAATAGAAAACCTGCACTGCAGTCTTGAAGATACTGATGGGCTGCTTCCACGTTTTGGAGTAACTTAATAGCCGGTTACATACTTTAGTTCCCTCCTCACTCAAGAATTCAATCATAGTAGATAAATTCTTCATGACAAACCTTATTGTTCCTCGGACAATAAGGACGTTTACATCGTCGGCAAATAAATGACATGAAAAGTGCCAGCACATTTAACTAATCTGCATGATATATAATAAAAATGGGCGGGCTTAGACCACTACACTGTTAAAAATCTGTGTTCTTCAAAAAACAAAAAAAATGATCTTCATTTGTCCCCTATAGAGATCATATATGTGTTCTCCAAAGATTTGTACAACAAGAATCTTCGGTTTTCTGTAGAACAAAGTCTTTGTTCTTTAAGTTTTTTGATTCCTATAGAGGACAACTTGTTCTTCAGAGAACAGGTTTTTCAAGAACTTCCAAAAAA